TCCCTTCCCTTCCCCTCCCCACAACAGACACCCTGTAGGTGGGGCTGAGAGAGCTCTTGACAGAACTGTCCTTGAGAGAACAGCTCTGACAGAACTATGGCTTGCCCAAGGTCATCCAGCAGCTGCAAGTGGAGGAGTGGGGAATCAAACTTGGTTCTCCCAGATTAGAGTCCGCACACTTAACAACTACACCAAATGCAAATAAAATAAAATAAAATTGCATAAAATAAAATGAAATTGCAAAATTCAAAAGAGAGCGAGTCGGAGATTCCCCCCCCCCGGCTTACACAGAAAAGTAGCCCGGAATCAAGTCTCTCCAATTGAAAGGACTAGAGGACTAAAGGAGGACTAGAAGTCACAAGTAGAGCAGCAGGCACAGCTGGGGCACCCCCCCCCATTTCCCCATGCCCCGCCAACCAAAAATTTTTGGCTACGCCCATTTGGATGGGAGACCTCCAAGAAATACCAGGGTCATGACGTGGAGGCAGACAATGGCAAAACCACCTTTGAATGTCTCTTGCCTTGATTTACCATAAATCAGCTGTGACCAGAGGGCACTTTCCATCACCACCTTAAATAAATCACACAAAAGCAAATCCTATCACCATTCTGATGTGGTTCCATGAAGAACGCATTAAGATATGTCATTTTTTAAGATGATACTGCAAATACTCTCATATGTCTTCATTTTGTGTTAAGACTGCGTCTCACGGCTTCCTTCTGGCATCTCTCCTTACATGTAATTCCATTTGCGAGTGGCAAAGTTCTATGCGCACCAAAATCTGTTGGCTGCCTGAACTGCCACTCAGAAGGCGCTGGCTGTGTTAGCTGCCTGGGTTGTGGAGTCCTGCCTAGAGGAGAAGAAGAAGAAGAGATTGGATTTATACCCTGCTCTTCACGACCCACAGGTGTCTCAGAGAGGCTTACAAACTCCCTTCCCTTCCCCACAACAGACACCCTGTGAGGTAGGTGGGGCTGAGCGAGTTCTTGACAGAAACTGCTCTTTTTCAAGAACAGCTCTTATCAGAACTACGGCTTGCCCAAGGTCATCCAGCCAGGTGCAAGCAGAGGAGTGGGGAATCAAACCCAGTTCTCCCAGATTAGAGTCCACGCATTTAACCACTACATCAAACTGGCCAGCGTCTCTGGCTCAGTCTGCTCAGAGCTGATGGAAGGGACAGACAGGACTCTCCGCAGGGCTGGGGATGGCTGGGGCCTCCTTCCCTCCGGCTCACGTGCAGTGTCAGGGGTGGAGAGGGGGGGCCTTCCTTCGGTCCTCTCCCACGGCCCCCTTCATCCCTCGCATGCCCTATACATGGAGTGAGGACCCAGTGAGCAGCGGCCGGTTCCCCCCTCACGACGACAACGCCCTGGCTGCTCACCTCTCCTCCCCGGCTATGGCTGCTCGAGTTGGCTCTGCCTCACACACCGGCTCCGTTGCCCACTTCACACTGTTTACAATGGCTGCGAGTCACTGCGAGGCAGGAGGGGAGGATGGAAAAGCCATACAGCCAGAGTCGAGGCAGGGGGGGACCGCCAAGATGGAGGAGAGGGCCACCCATGGCAGCTGTGGTCTGGCCATGGCAGTCGGGGGATGGGCAACTGCTGCAGGCCAGAGCACTCTCCCAGACCCTCTTTCTAGAGTTCGTTGCATTTCTTTCTGCAACGGGACTTATTACTACTAAGACATATACTGGTGGTTCCCCCCCCCCCCGACAGCAGTGGGGAGCAATCCAAAGACACTTGAATATTCACAAAAATGGTCTCCATGCCCAAAATTCAAACCATGATTTCCATATCAAAATGGTTATAGGACTAGCTCTTAGGGTTTCTCTTCACCATAGTTTGGGAAATTATGCCAACAAAACTCCTCTGTTTTACATAACGTTGCAGGGGCAAATTTGGCCTTGTGAGGAGCTCAGACGATATCCTATAATAACAGAGTTTTGTTGAAAGGTGTTCACTACACAAAGATTAAAAAAAAAACCATTATTCTTCTTTGCTGTGTTGGTCACTCTGTGGAAGAGGGGAATGCTTCAACTGTACATCTTGCTGGGTTTAGCTGTGGGAAACCCAGGTTCACATCTCCTTTGGACCGTGATGCTTTGGCAAGTCATACAGTCACAGCTGCCTACTCACTTCACAGGTTTGTAGGAAGGAGAATATGCTGAGCTTAGGGAACAAATGGGCAGGAACAGACAAGGTACTAACAAAACATTACAGAGTTCCAGAAAAAAATATTGTATCTATGTTTATCAAATAGGTTACATTTCCTGTCTAACAAGACTGGGGAGCAGCTATGTGTGATCCATTTTTGTTATTGAACAGACTAATTGAATAAGGCTGTTCCAAACAGTCAATGAAAGCACCTGCAAGCCACACTTTAGCCTCATATGATAGATCCACAAATCCCCTTAGTACTATATCCCACTGCCACAGAGTGAAAGTAGGGTGTGATTGGAGTGGGGTAGACTTAACTGTCATGTAGGGCATAGCTGTAGCATTGTTGGTATCATTTTCATCAACTGGGCAGGGCTATGTTATTGGAACTGCCTCCCACACACAGCCATGCAAAATTCTAGAACAGGTGGGCTTTTCATAATCTTGGGTGTATACATCAAGAAGAATGCCTTTTCATACTTGTAGCAAAGCAATAATAAAATGGCAGGCAAAGAGGGGTAGGCAGGCTTACCTATAGTTACCACTTTTTTAAAAGGGCTAGACTGAGTCGTCCTCCATGAGACTGTGCAACTGAGTGGTGCACAGCCTCTAAAGTGGTTCTAAAAGTCACCTGATGTCATAGAGATGTATGTCGCTTCCCTAGTGATGGCCCAGGTATTATCTAGCTAAGGCCTCGTGCATCTGCATTTCACACCCCACTCATAACAGCAATAGATGCACTAGCTGGGAGAAGAATCACATTTTTTCCAGACGAAGAAAACAATTTCCATGAGAGTGCTGAGATGTAAAATCCTAGCTACAGAATCATTTGGATTCCATAAGACATTGAACACATCTATATGTGCATGCAAACATGCAAAGGAAATTGCAGGAAGTCCTACAGAAGGAAGAAAATTGTCTGCATGCAGCACCTTGATTCTGTGCAGGAAAGAACTCTCATTGTTCAGGAAAATTAATAGGAATCTATTTTCAAAATCTAAGGAAAGCTCACAACACATATTTTTCACAAAGATCACATGGCTGTGCCATCCACCATCTGGTTACCAGCTGCCAGAATGTACAATATAGAGATGAAATTATCTCCAGCCTATATCCATCCATCCCACAGCCCCTTTCAGTGAGAGGTCCTCCAGGGACAGAAGCTACTGCAACATCCTCTCACAGATCACTCCCCCCCCCACAAGAGGGGATGCTGTTTCTTGAATTTGTTAGCATATATGAATGTAGATGATCTGACGTTATTGCTGTGATGAGGCTGCAGTGGATCCACCTGGCAGACTGCTTCATCTTGTTTTGCTCTGGGGAGCACTTTAAGAGGCACCTCATCGAGTGTTTCCTCCTACTGCGGTCACGGGGCTGTTCCTGGGCCCCAGCTCCCAATCCCACTGCAGTTTATGCCCCAGTCCCTCTGGCATGGAAGGACACATTCCAATGGAGAATGAATTCCTGGAGGGAAATTATATCAAGAGCAGCAGACAGCCTTAATAAGAGCCTATCTAGGGACCATGAGGAAAGCATCACAGGAATAGGATCCATGGGATGGATGGTGTTTTTGCAGTGGGCACCAAGGCTGGTACTTCATTGCAGCACCAGCAGTAATACTTTGTCTGCCAGAGCTTGCTGGGTATGAAACATGCATATGTGGGACAAAGCATTCTTCTAAATAGACTGGAATATGCTTCATTTGGATAGAACTATTCATTTAACCTACTAAGATGGAGAAAAGAGGAACAGACAGAGAGATGGACCAACAGACAGAATATTTACTGGCTGCCTCTGCATTAAAAATGCTCAAGGTGACTCACAGCATTAGAAAGCAAAATAGAAAGCCAAAACCACAACCAAGAAGAAATGAGAAAAGCAGCAGAATAACAATAGCTAAAACCAGTTTAAAAGGAACAATAACACTATAGGAGCAGTAAAAGGACACAAGATTGTAAACACCAACCCAAAGACACAAGATTATGACCACACACACACACACACACACATATGCCTCATGCATGGGCACATAAGTAGGTTTCCACCTCCGTCCTGAAAGTAACAAACACCATGTCACAATCAGGGGGCCATCACAGAGAAAGCCCCTCCAGAGAGACTCACCAGTTTCATTTTAACAGCTCTCTTAGACGGCTGTGCGTTGGTCTAGAGCCGACATTAGTTTACAAAGTGACCGTTTGCACAAGCAAACCCACGAAACCAGATATGGGTAGGGTCGCCCCCAGTGGGCACCTCTTAAATGTGTTGCGGAGGAAACCCCTCCCAAAAGTTCAGCACCGGCCTCCCCTGCGATAGTGCACCTCTCGGATTGCTCCGGACTGGGGGCCAAACGTCTACGCCAACTTGCCACTGACTGCCTGGAGACCTGCACAGGCTTCGCCGAAGCCGGCTCGTGTCCTTAACATGTCACTCGGATACGCATCACACGTGTCACGCGCTTGCCTGTAGTCACGCGCGCACGCGCGTGTCGGAAGGCGAGGGGGCGAGAGGGGTGCAGCCGAGCGGTCGGGGCGCGTTCTGCAACCCCCGCGCGGGAACGCTCCCTCGGGAAGGCGCCCCGCGAGTCTTAAGAGGAGTTTTGTGCGACTGTGCGCGCGCCGGAGACAGAGCATTACCCAGTTACCATAGAAACCAGCAGAAGGCGGTGGGCGGCCGGTCGGAGGAGAAGGGGGTGGGGGAAGCGATTTGCCCGCAGTCCTTGCGAAGCTGCTGGTTTATTCCTTGCTTCGCCAGAGAAAGCGAAGGGCAGGCGCTCTCTTGGCGCGGTTCGGGCGGCGGGGGGGGGAGGAATCCACCTCCCGTCTGGCTCCGCGTGCTCTCCGGAGGGGTCTTGGCGCCTTCAGGGACGGGCTGCTGTGCCGCCTGCTCGAAGCAGCACCCGGAGCTGCGCAGGTAAGCCCCCCGCCCGTGCAAAAAAAAAAAATTGTTTGGGGCGCCTCTTCTGCATCCCCCCTCCGCCATTATTGCAGTGAAAGGAGATAATGACATTTTGAAGCAAAAGGTATTTTTGGATGCATCTGCGGAGAGGGAGGCTTGTAAAGGCATCCAGTATAATCGGTCCACATCCTCTTGCTTCACCTTTGGGGTTCACACACCATGGGTCTTCTCTGCTTGCTTATCCCGCTGCCACACGTTGCAAACATCTGCCCAGTTCCCACTGGTATGGCACTCAATATTGCATGCAAGAAGGGGGATAGTGTGTACTACTGTGGCAGGAGCCTGGGCTGGGACTGAATTTTGAATTTTGGGCCAGCAGCTGTAGGCACTGGGTGAACAGGTCATTTAACATTGAATGAAAGGATACTTGGCTGAGCTGGCATGAGGTTGCCCCCCCCCCCATTATAGGATAGCCTGTTTGGGAACAAGGGGGTGAACGAGACAGTTGGGTCCTTCCCTGCTCTGTTGGGTGATGAAAGGATGATAATGCAGGCTCTGCAGTGGGGCTGACCTTTGAAGCCTAGACTGTCTGCACCATGCTCCTCTTTAGCAGGGGATTGCTGTTTGTGCGTGTTCTTAGTGACAAGATTGCATTACCCATTCATGGTACCAAAAGGTTCTCAAAAGGAGGAAGTTATTCTCTTTGCCCTCTTTTTCTCTTCAAAGAAGGAACACTGGGATTTTTTTGAGGAGGG